CTCTCTCTCTCTCTCTCTCCCTCTCCCTCTCTCTCTCTCTCTCTCCCCCCTCTCTCCTTCCCTCCCCCCCCCATGAGAAAGGAGTTGGTACTTCTATTCAAGTTTTTTTATAAGAAAATCTCTTTTAAACAACAAATCACTAGGAATATGTCCGACTCCTAATGTATCCTTTCAGCTCTGGTCGTAAATCTCCCAGGAGGTTCATCTGCCCCATTCCAGGAGAGACCGACTAAACATTCCAGGAGAGACCAACCAAACTCCTCAAACTAAAAAAACAGATTTTAAGATGTCCCCTTCCTGTCATTGGCCTCATTGATTTCCGTTCCAGTTCCAGCAGCTTCTTCTTTCAGGAGGCAGGAGTCAAGTGTGGGTGTGTAGCTCCGCCAGGGGAAGAGATTAATCCAGTTTAGAGCTGGAACACAGGCATAGGAAGCCCTGACACCAGATCTACAATGTATCCATTTCATTAAAAAAAGAAAAAAAAAGTAAGCCTTTTACTGATGTGAAATGCTTGTGCAGTCAATTGTCAGATGTAAGCTATTTTACATACATTTGATCATGCAGAGATTAAAATCTGAAAACTTTCACTACTGCTCTTGCTTGCAGAAATTAATGCCTTGCTGTATTTCTTACATTTATCTGATAGTAGGGGCTGATAGGGACACAAAGGGCATCACTTTAGCCTGATGTCTTTCCTGTATTTTTGAGCTTTCTGGCTAGCAGTTCTTAAGAGTTCTAAATATTACTTTCATCTGAAGCCTATACCTCTGTCTATAGTCTCCATTTTCTTTAAGGAGCACATCAACCAACTATACACACAGTGTCAGGATTACCACAGACCCCCTTTTCTTTGCTATTTCAAAGTAAATCAGCCTTTGATTGCTACCTCCAAATTACCTCTTTACCCAAGATGTCTCTCCTCTCCTGCCACCACCTTCTGTTCCCACTGCTTTGGGTTTCCCTGTGACTGCAACGTTCCCTACTATGGCCTTCTACCTCCAGCCATTCTTCTAAGTCCTCCTCACCAGAATTTCAGTTCCAAAATGAAGGGCGGACCATACACTGCCCTACTCTCATGGCTACCTTCCTGCCCTCCCCATGGCTTATGATATGCCGACCTAAACTCATTTGCCAGCACGCCAGACCCTGTATGATGTCATCTGTTCACAATCCAGCTGTACTGTCTCTGTCAGTCTCATGCCTGCCAGTTGGGTATAGCATGCTGTCTGGCCCCTACCTCTGTACCCTGACAATGTACTACTATTCCCATCTCCAGACACACCCTCATCCTTCTCTCTAGGATGTACTCTGGAGATCCCGTTTGTCATTCAACACAGCCTGTCTTAGAAGCCTTCTGCGATGGTTAACTTGAGTTGTCAACTTGCATTTAAAAAAAGAGATCTCTGGAAGTGTCTGTGAAGATGTTTCCAGAGGTGCTTACCTGGGGTCCGAGGATATGGGGAGCATCATTCCATGGAATGAAACCCAAGACTGAATGAAAAGGGAAGAGGGAGAAAGCAGGCAGCATACTTCCTCTGCCATGCTGTCCCAACCACTATAGATGATGACGTCTGATGCCTTCCTTCCTTAAGTGGCTTTGCTTAGGGATTTTGTCACAGCAGTGAGAAAAGAAAGAAAAAGATCTCCCCTGGCCACATAGGCAGGCAGAGCAGGGTCTCAGCAGGGTCCTTCTGCCCTGTCCCCACTCCACTTCAACACAGTTGTTTTACTGTTGAGCAGCTGTGTAGCTGTCTCACCCCTCCAGTTTGGGCCTCTGTGTTTTCCCTACTAATGTAGCAGTTAGTTGACAGAACTTTGCATACTGAAAAACAACAACTGTGGCAGAAATTCCCAAGCCTTTGTATTTCTTTGGATACTTTGGAAGGGAGGAAAAGGTCTGAGATGAGAACTTAGCCAGACTGTAAAGAAACAATTCCACCCTCCCCTCTCCCTCTCTCTGCAGGAAAGCATGCTATATGTACACCAAATTCTGAATGTTTGTTAGGTAGGCAACCCTAAAGAAGTCTGGGGCAATGTCTTGTTCCATTTTGGCAATGACATGTTTATAAAGAAGCATAGTCTGTCAACAAAAACTAATTTAAAAAATTATAATGAGATGGAAAACAGAAAGGAAAGCCATTCTGTTCTTGAATCTCTGGAAGAATTTTACAGGAGGCCAGTGTACAACCAGGAACATTTCTTACCCTGCCTCTGCACACCCTAAAGTCTTCACCACTGTCCCTCGAAGCTGTCCCTGAGCCTCTCCTAAGCCAAATCACAAACTCATTCTCTAATCTCTTCACCAGGCTTCACTTTTACCACCACCGCCACCACCGCCGCTGCCACCGCCACCGCCACCACCATCACCACCACCACCACCACACCACCATCACCACTGACACCATTGCCACCACTACTGCCATCACCACCATCATTGCCGCCACCACCACTGCCATCACCACCATCACCACTCCACCGCCACCACCACCACCAACATTACCACCATCACTACCACCAGCAGCACCCCCCTATCATGCCCAGCTAGCTCTACGCTATTTCAACTGACTTGACTTCTCTGACTAAGCCCCCCTTAATTCTCTTTCTATGTCTTAGTTCTCTCTTCCCCTCCATCTTCCCTGTCTCCCTCTGTCTTATAGATAGTGACCATAACCCATGCCAACAAGGCTACGACTTGCAGGCATGCATGGGTAGTGAAGAAAGAAGAGGGAAGTGGGAAGAACAAGTTCACACACAGAACTCTTGCCCACTTGCATGCATAGATGATCTCTAATGACTCACTGAAT